TGTTTATTTTAGGTTTTTGCCAAAGGGCACATGTACCAGCCAGAGAGACAGAAAGTGAGAAATCATCCCCTGGGGGAATGGCAACACAGCAATCTCTTCTCTTCCATTCTCCTCATGGGATCTTGGGCACACATGCACATATGCCCAGCATGATTTTCAAGCCACCAGGTCCAGGACTCAAACCATGTTTGGCCATTGGGAGTCCAGCGCCTTAACCATCATGCCACCTGCTGGCCCACTTTTCTGTCAGTTTAAGATACCAGGCTCTGAGAAGAGCAGATGATGTAATTGTTAATGGTTACATTGCTGGGCTCCTACATAGTTCATAGCAGTTCTAGTCCCATACTCAGTGGCTTAAAAACTCATGCTGGGTGCATGTGCATGCATGTCTAAAATCCTGAGAAGAGACTGGAGGAGAAGGGATTGTGGTACGACTATCCCCTCTGGGGGGTGATTTCTTGCTTTCTGTCTCTCTGGCAAGCACATGCACCCTATGGCAGAAATCTCTCTAACAAAAAAATTTAAAAATGACACCAAGCTTGTTTTACTTTGTTATTCCAGGAATCTCTAGAAAACGAATATGGTTGTCATGTATTTAAATTTTATAAATTTAAAGCCATGAAGATAATGTTATTACTGTTTTGTATAGAAAATATTAATTTACATTTATTCATGTTTTTACTCTGTTTTCCTTTATCTCTTCTCTCAATCCCTGTACATCCATCTAGGATAATTTTCTTTCTACTTCAAAGTATTCCCATTAATATTTCTTTAAAGTAGGTTTGCTGTTGATGAACCCTCTCAGTTTTTATTTGCTTGAAAATCTTATTTCATTTTCACCTTTTTATTTTATTATTTCATATATTTCCTAGATAAGAAACTCTGGGTTTAGCAGTTTATTTAGCATATTGAAAATACCATCACTTTCTGAGTTCTCTCACATACTTTTCTAAAGCTTTCTTGTGATGTACATAGGTGTGGTTCCTTTTGTATTGGGTCATCAGAAAATTCATGATGTATTTTCCCATGCAAAAACGCATCTTGACTTTTTTAGTAACCCAATATTCATGCTACTTGAGGTTTTTTGTTATACTTAATTCTGTTTTCATCAGTTTTTGAGAATTTTTAAACCATTATTTTCTCAAATATTGCTTCTACCAATCTCTCCATCTTCTCCTTTTGGGACTCACATTATAACTGGACTAGACCTACTTGTTCCCAGTCTTTCTTTCTAACTTCTTTTGTTTTTACTACCCTTTTTAATAGTCCTCATCTTTCTCTTCGTTCCTACATTATAGAACATTTTGTACTCCATTTCATTTCCCAATGCATCCCCAAACTCTCATTAAAACATAACTCTGTAATATCCCTGATTAAAAACCTCCAGGGTCTCCTTTTCTGTTTGTTTTTCAGCAAACATATCAAACAACTATTATGTGTCATGCACTATGTTTGGTGCACATGACAAAAAGATAAGCAAAATAAAAGCTGTTTTGATCCTCTAAGTATGTATAGTCCAGTGATAAAGAGAATTTACAATAAAGTGAAATAAAATCCTTGCTCATTAGTGAATGTATAGGATATTACTGAGAACACATATCAGGAGTACAAAATGTATTTAGTAGGGACTGGGGTAAATTCTTAGGAGGTAGTGACATATAAATAGAAAACTTCAGGATGAATAAAAATAATTTTTTGTGAAGAGGGGAGATGAGAGAATTTGTGAAGGCCTGGAGGTAGTCAGGGCACAACTGAGTAACTGAAAGATCTTCAAGATGGATTAAGCAAAGAACTCAAGAAGGTGAATATGTGATGAGATAGGCTAGGCCAGGTTACAAAAATACCTAAACAATTTCATGGGTTTGAACTTCATTATAAGGGCAACGGGAGAAAAGGAAGAATTTTAAGTGAGAGAAGATATATTTCAAATAAATAACAACATTTTCGTGATTGATTATATATGGAAGTTTAGAAAAGGAATGGATTAGAGAAAGACTTCAGATTACCTGGGGTTTCTGAATGGCATTTACCTAGATACAGAAAAACAGTGGAATGACAAACTTTGAGGAAGAAGATGATGATGAGTTCAATTTTGAACATTTTGAGAGAGACACTTGTGGGCCATCCAAGAAGAGATGGTAAGTAATTGGACTCATAAATCAAGAATTCATTATGAAAAGTTGGGATAGAGACACATATTTTGGATTCTTCCTATTCCATTTTCACATTGCTTTCAAATTTCTCTTTCAAATAAGGGTCTAGCTATATGAGATATGTGCTCAAAAGCCATAGGTGTCTCCCCACTGCCCACACGATACAGTCAACATTTTAACATGGCGGTGTATAAACTCTAACGTGTGGTGTGCAAATACCTCTAAAATCTAGTCCCTTCCAAACTTTGCAGACTAATATCTCAATGTCTACTTGTTTTTCAGCTGAATACAATTTTCCTTGTTTGCTGAACATAAAATTTGTTCTAGTCTTTTTGTGCTCAGAACTTTCTTCTGCTCAGAATGTTCTGTCCATCCTCTTTTTGACCTGAATAACTCCTATTTATTCTTTGAGATCTTAGTTCAAATGCCATTTTCTCTGAGACACTTTACATTGCTCCCATGCCACTTTGTAAACATTTCTAAAATAATGTTTCTCAAATTGCAGACCGTGTCCCACCTATTGGTAATAAAATACATTTAGAGAGGGGCCAGCAGGTGGTGTGGTGGTTAAGGTGTTGGACTCTCGAATGACTAACTGCCATGGAATGAGTCCTGAACCTGGAGGCTTGCTTTCCTACTTTTCTTTCCTCTTCCTTTCCTCTCTCTTAGTCTCTCTCTGGTCAAATCAAACAAATAATAATGATAATAATAAATGAAATAAAATAATCAAAAATACATTTAGAGAGCTATGATAAATATTTATAAACAACAGGAAAAATAGAATAGGAAATATCAGAATGCATTACACTTAGAAAAATAAGCATTGTCTTTTTTTTGCTTCAGTTCTCTGTGCATGTGTGTGTATTATTTGCTAGAAGGCATGTATGCTCACCACAGAGAGACAGAGGGACAGAGAGGGAGAGAGAGAAATCACCCCTCACTCGAGTGTCGTCACACTGGAATCCCTTCTCCATCCTTTTGGGATTTGAGGCAAGCACACATGAGTTCAATATGCCTTTCTTTTCTTCCTTTTTTAAAAATAATTATTTTATTATTTTACCCATTATTATTATTTTGTAAGCTGAGCAGAAAGAGACACAGAGAGAGGGAGAGAGAGGGAAAGTGTGAAAGCAAGCTGCCAGGTCTGGGACTTGAACCGCGGTTGGACATGTGCGAGTACAGCACCTAAACCATCACACCGCCTGCTGACCCCGAGTTCTGCATGTCAACTCAGAGCAGGATTTGAACTGTGTGATTGCCATATGGGATCTGGTGCCCTTAACTACTAGGCCATGGTACTGGCCCTATAATAAATAATAGTGTAAAAGGTATTTCTTACTGTGGTTTTTGTTCAGGAGCATTTGGAAACCACTATTCCTACAACTTTGGTTGCTTAACTATTTGCCTTTTGCCCTAGAAAATGACTTCATAATTTGTGTATCTCTGGTGCCTAGTACTGAAATTTATTATAAGCACTCAGTAATTGCTGAATCGTAGTGCATGGTAGGAAATGCTTTCTGTATTTTATAACATTAAAAAGAGATTTAAGGGGAGGGTAATCCTAGCTCATCAACTTCCTAAATTATTTCTAAAATGGTATAATGCTATGATTAATAAGGAGATATGTTTTCTTTTAACATATGCCATTAGATTCCTCTTGGGATAGGAGGAGTATGCCTTGATAGCAATTTGGTAGTTGGTATGGTGATCCCTTAAAGTATGAGAGAGAGAGCTCCACTGAAGGAGAAGAACAAAGTAATTATGACAAGAGATTTGGTAGCACATGCCATGATGGGCCACTGGCTATCTCCCCATGACAGGGCAGCTAGAAAGAATCTTAAGGAGAATCTACTCATCTACTCACAATTTGTTTGTTTGCTTGTTTGTTTTTTTGGAGGGTGGTTTGATGAAACCCCTTCTTATAACTCCCAAATCACCAGGAATACTTACTGAATATGTCTTTGGCATTGTGAACTTTAAGGGGGAGGATAAACTTCACATCATATTTAATCCTCTAATAACCTGAGGCTACTAAGTTAGCTGGCTCTGTGCATTTTGTAATCTACATTATATTGAATAAAATTCCTAATCCCCTATATTGTGAAATTCACAACACTCTCTAAATTCCTGCTAATTCCCGTGGGAACAAATTCTAGCAAAATGAATCATCGGTGGTGACTTTCAGCAGATGTTGTACTAAACAGTATCACTTGGAAAGCCTTCCCATTAAAAATAGGAGTAAGACAAACAGTCGTGTTCACTGGCACTGTTCTACATCAGATCTAAAAGCCTGGCCCATACAACAATAAAAGAAAACGACGTGTTTAAATACATATGTGTTAGAAAGCAAGGACGCCATTATTTGTATAATACACAGGGGGAAAGCATGAGACTCTACAGACAAACTATTAAAACTAAACAATTTAGAAAATTTGCTGAAATAAGATTAACATACAAAAATTGTTTTTCTTTTGTTTAAAAATGTGAAAAATTGTAATAGAGAGAAAGATACAGCATTAAAAAAAATTCCAGAGGGCATGTGTGTTTGCCACAGTTATCATGGAGAGAGAGAGACAAAGAAGGAGAGGGAGGAAGGAGAAAGCACCCCCCCAATGGGGTGTGGTCACTCTGCAATTTCAAGTGAATGCTTTACAATAGTGCTGTAAAAATATTATTTAAGGTATAAATATTATAGTAATTAATACTTAGCAAGTTTTACCACTTAACTCCTTTCCACTAATTCTTAACACATATGTGTGTACACACACACACACACACACACACACACATTCACTCTCCCTCTCTCTCTCTCCTTATTCTCCTTGGAATTGTATCCTTTTGACTTACCTGGGGCTGAGCTAAGCCTTGCAGACTGAGACCTGGGCAGTCTACCCAGGCTGCTTCCAGCAGCACACACAGTATGAGGTTCGATCAGAGGACAGTAGGGATGTGCAGGGTAAGAGGGACTGTGGCACCAAGGGCTGCAGTTGGGGAGAAGAGTTGGTGGGATCTCCCTTTTTCTGTAAAAGGAAAAAAGCCCAGACTAAACTCCAAAGGCATTTTATGCAGTAGTATTAGCCTGAAGAAGCAATTAAAGTGAAACTGTGTTTAAGACCAAGAGAATATGGCTTTTCTAGACCTTACAGACAGAATTTTTGTGATGCCATCAGAAGCATTTGCCTATAGATGGAGAGCATTTCTAACCCTCAGTCCACAGGTAGGGTTTTTTTTGTTTGTTTGTTTGTTTTGCCATAAGGCATGTATGCTTGCCAGAGAGACAGAGACAGAGGGAGAAAAATTACTCCCCCACAGGGGGGATGGCCACACCACACAGCTTTCTCCTGTGTTCACCTCTTGGGATTTGGGGCACACATGCATACACACCCAGTGTGCTTTTCAAGCTGCCAGGATGTGAGATTCAGCCACCTTAACTTCCAGGCTACCTGCGGGACCACATAAATAGTTTTTGACCCAGGATCAAAACTCCTGGATCATGTACCCTTCCTCCACCTAAGCATTGCTAAAGACTAGGGGATGACCATTTCTCCACCTTTCTTTCTCTCTCTCTCTCTTTTTTTTTAATTTTAGAGAGGTTTTTGCTACAGTGCGCATGCACTTGCTATAAGGTGCATGCACTCGCTAAAGAGACAGAGAGAGACAGAATGTGAGAAATCACCCCCCAGGGAGATGCCCATGCCATAATCACTTCTCCTCCATTCTCCTCTTGTGATCTTGGGCACACATGCACACATGCCTGGCGTGAGTTTTCAACTGCCGGGTCCAGGACTAGAACTGCATTCGACTATGTGGGAGTCCAGAAACGTAACCGTTATGCAATCTGCTGGTCCCATTTCTTCACCTTTTAATAACAGCCCCGCCTCTAGCAACAGTGACAATGAGAAGCAAAATGACTAGGGGGGAGGGGGGTAGTTTGAGAGGGGTTCCAATATTGCTTAGCAAAAATGGCCAGTCTTTATTGTTCCATGAATATGCATACTTAATCTGTGGTTTTATGCTTTTCATGAGTTCTATTCAAAACATTTTTTGTAAAACTACTACTGATTCATTTGTTCATCACATATTTGTCACCCAGTCAATTCCCACACGGTAAATAGCCGGTTGTGGGAATGACTCAGTAAAAACAAAACAAAACAACCTTTACCTCTCAAGGAAAGCTCGAGCTTCTTCCACCTGACCTTTTGAGGTTTCTTTCTTAGGTTGAGGCTGTTTTTCTTTAGTTAGCGTAGTCGTAGAAGCTGTCCAGTGAAATACGTGCCTTCGGAATGTTGGAGATACTACTGAACATCTCTCAAATTCAATGTCGGTCTCCAATTTCTCCCACGCTTGCTTCCAGTGGATAGGCGTGTACCAGGCAATGGCCTAATGAGAATGATACGTTAATATCAGATATTATTGAAATTGGATAGATTTTTCTTAAATGTCACAGGCTTATTACAATATAATTTATTTATTTGTTATTAAATAACCTGTGTTTATTTGAGGTTTACAAACATGGTATTAGGGGATACACATAGATAGTAAAACAGCTACTACAGTGAAGCCAATTAACATATTGATCTCCTCACATAGTTACTTTTTTATAATAAGAGCAGCTAAAATCTACTTACTTAACTGAAATCCCTAATTCAACAGTTTTATCAACTACGGTCTTCATATTGAACATCCGATCTCTAGTCGTGTTCATCCTATATCTCTGCTACTTTCTATCCTTTGTGTATCTCTCCATTTTCCCCATGTCTGCCCTTGGAACTACCATTTAGTCTTTATCTCTGTATTTTTAACTTTATTTATTAATTTATTCTTAGATTCCACAAATAAGTGAGAGCACACAATATTTTTATTTCTAGGTCTGGATTATTTCACTTATCATAATGTCCTTCAGGTCTATCCACATTCAGGTAAGTGGCAGGATCCTCTAGTTTTTTATTTTTTAATTTATTTATTTATTTATTTATTTATTTAGGAAAAGTTTTTGCTAAAGGGCACATATGCTGACCAGAAAGACAGAGGGAGACAGAGAGACAGAAAGTGAGAAATCATCCCCCAGGGACGATGGCCACACTGCAATCCCTTCTCCTCCATTCTCCTCTTGTGATCTTGGGCACGCACACACACGCGCCCGGCATGAGTTTAAGCCATGGGTCTGGGACTCAAACCACAGTCAACTACATGGCAGTCTAGCAACATAGCTATCATGCCAACTGCTGGTCCCAGGATCCTCTTGTTTTTAAAGACTGGATAATATTCTATTATTATATAGTTAAAGGATCTTCAAAAGTTCATGGAAAAAGTTTATTATTGAAAAACCTATGCATGGATTAACAAAGTTTTCTTTGTATCAAAATAAACTTGTATTTCAATTCCACTTTTCCACAAACTTTATGAAGCATCCTCGTCTACGTACCACATTTTCTTTATCCATACTCCATCAATGGACACTTAGGTTACTTTGATATCTTAGCTATTGTAAATTATGGGAATGACCATGGGAATTCAGATATCTTTATGAGGTAGTGATTTCATTTCCTTTGGATATATAACCGAAAGAAGGATTGCTGGGTTGTATGGTCATTCTATCTTTAATTTATTTCAGAATCTTCATACTATTTTTCAGTGGTTGTACTAATCTATTGATACATTTCCACCAACTGCATGTTAGGGTTCCTTCTCTCTCTCTCTCTTTTTTCTTTTCTATTTTTCATACCCTCGCCAACATTTGTTAGTGCTTGTCTTTTTTTTTTTTTTTTTTGAGAGGTTTTTGCTATAGGGCGCATGCACTCGCCAGACAGACAGAGAGAGACAGAGAGACAGAAAGCGAGAAATCACCCCCCAGGGGGGATGGTCACGCCGCAATCCCTTCTCCTCCATTCTCCTCTCGGGATCTTGGGCATGCCCGCACAGGCGCCCGGCGTGAGTTTTAAGCCACCGGGTCCAGGACGCGAACCGTGGTCAACTACATGGGAGTCCAGCGACATAGCCATTACGCTAACTGCTGGTCCCTGTGCTTGTCATTTGATGATAGTATTCTAAGGAATGTGAAGAGAGAGTTTTTTAATTTGCATTTCTCTTTTGGATAGTGATGTTGAGCATATTTTCATACATTTGTTGGCCATTTTTATGTCTTGTTTGGAGAAATGTCTATTCAGGTCCTTTGACCATTTTGAATTGGGCTACTAGTTTTTCCATAATTGAGTTGTAAAAGTTCTTTATAAATTTTGAATCTTAACCCCTTATCAGATATGTGATTTGCAAATATTTTTCCAGTCTGTAGTTTGCCATTTAATTTTGTTGATTGTTTCCTTTGCTATGAAAAAGCTTTTTAGTTCCATTTGATATAGTTCCATTTGTTTATTTGTGATCTTGGAGTCTGAGCTTCTGGTATGATATCAACAAAATCACTGCCAAGGCAAGTGTCAAGGAGCTTTTTTCTCATGCAGTTCTCCTCTAGCAGTTTTATGATTTCAGGTCTTACATTTAGGTATTTTATCCATTTTGAATTGATTTTTGTGTATAGTATAAGATACAATCAAATGTAAAAACAAAACTGTATAATGTCACATATGATCCACATATACCAATCATGTAGATTAGTAAGCCATATAATGAGGAATGTAGTAAGTTCCCAGTTCTGAAAATTATAAGCTGCGTAACTTCAGAGAGGTTAATTATTTATATCTCAAACTGTCATACTTGACTCATTAAAATGGGGAGGGTGGTAGAGGGGGATTGCTTTATAAAAGTGTTGTGAAACTCAGCTAATTCAGCTAATTTTAATAGTTTTAAAAATGATTTGGGACCAGCAGTTAGCACAATAGCTATGTTGCTGGACTCCCATGTAGTTGACCATGGTTCATGTCTCGGACCTGGTGGCTTAAAACTCATACACGTGTGTGTGTGTGCCAAACATCCCAAGAGGAGAAGGGATTGCAGCATGGCCATCCTCCCTAGGGGGTGATTTCTCGCTTTCTGTCTCTGTCTCTCTCTGTCTATCTGGCGAGCGCACACGCCCTATAGCAAAAACCTCTGAAAAAAGAAAAAAAATGATTTAAAAACTGTGCAATTAAGTAATTTAAATATTAATAAGTTAAAATGGCAAACATTTAGGGGCCAGCAGATGATGTAATGGTTATATCGCTGGACTCCCACATGACCACAGTTCAAGTCCCAAATCTGGTGGCTAAAAAACTCAACGCCAGGCATGTGTGTGTGGGTGCTCAAAGTCCTGAGAAGAGAATGGAGGATAAGGGACTGTGGTGTGGAATCCAAAGTGAGGGTATCAATCCATTAACACTAAAGCTGGAGTTTGCTTTGGTTTCCTGAAAATGTGGCATGTACACCAAACATGTGTGCAAAATTATTCAGGAAAACTCCATACGGGGACTGACACTTATTATCTTTATTCTACATGAGAAAATTAAGCACCAAAGTGTGTGCCATAACATTCTACTTGTTATTGGGATCTATTTTTATTTTATAAAATTAGAGGTCTGGGGTTAATGCTGTTACTATTAAAACCCCTCTGCTTAGATTGACAAAATTAAATAGACAATACAGGGCAACTTCAGTTAGGTTAGCTCTACAGAAGAGAAAGAGAATGATTAAATTATTTTTAAAAGTTTATTTTCATGGGGAGCAGCAAGAAAATCCCACTTTTGATCCAGATCATCATTTAGGGATCCTATTCTTCTTCCTGTATTGTAAAAGCTTAAATATATTTCATGACAATGATGACAAAGTGATCAAACTTAACCTTACCTCTAGAATGCTGGGCATGTGAGTCTTGTACATTATTTTTAGTGCAATTGAAAACAATTCTTGGAGTTAGAAAATACTGTTTCGGGAACCAGCAGTTAGCGTAATGGCTATGTCGCTGGACTCCCACGTAGTCGACCGCGGTTCGTGTCTCGGACCCGGTGGCTTAAATCTCACGCCGGGCGCGTGTGCGTGCGTGCCCAAGATCCCGAGAGGAGAATGGAGGAGAAGGGATTGCGGCGTGACCATCCCCCCTGGGGGGTGATTTCTCGCTTTCTGTCTCTCTGTCTCTCTCTGTCTGTCTGGCGAGCGCACGCGCCCTATAGCGAAAACCTCTCCAAAAAAAAAAAAAAAATTAAAAAATTAAAAAAAAAAAGAAAATACTGTTTCATTTTATTTCAGTCCTTTTACTAATCACATGACCTTGAGCAAGTCACTTAACTTTCCAAGCCCTATTTCCCCCATTCTAAAATACTTAAATATTGTTGAGAATCAAATGAGATAATGCATATTTAAACAGCCCTTCACTGAACTCCTGCTGCATATTTGTGGTCTGTTCCATAGCTGGATCTCTCATGTAAAACAATGTACTGGGAAGCTATTGGGAATTGAATAAATGTAAGAAATTGCTATGGTTTGAATGTGTCCCTCAAAATTCATATGCTGGAAATTTAATCCCCAATGCAACAGTGTTGGGAGGTAGGTTCTAATAAAAAGTGATTACATTATAAGAGCCCTGCCTTCACAGATGGATTAATGCCATTATCTTGAGAGTGAGTTAATGATAAAAGGATGAGGTTGGCCCTCCTTTCTCTCACTCTCACCATGTGATGCCTTTTGCCATGTTATGATGTAGTAAGAAGAACCTGACCAGATACAGCCCCTCACAATTTGACTTTCCAGCCTCCAGAACCATGAGCCAAATAAATCTCCACTGCTTATAAATTAGTCTCTGATATTCTTCTATAGCAACACAAAATGGACTAAGACAGATGTCTATTAATTTTATGACATTTAATGTAGACATTGTAAATCCTATAGGATAATGATATGACTGGTGAAAAAAATCTAGCTTGTGTTAAAAATTTGTACGTAGGGAAACTCAGTGATGTTATTGCATAATCTCTTATTTGATAGAGGAGAAAATGGAATCATAATCACATAGTTAACTCATGGCAGAACAAAACTATAACCTATTTCAATATAATATTACAGTGCAGGACTTGTAACTGTGCTAGTGACAAGATAACTCAAAATGTAATCTGCTATTGTTTATTTTAGGCCTAGTTTTGTTTGTTTTATAAAACTGACCCATAATATAATTTCACTTTGCCCCAGTGTTTTTTTTGTTGTTTATTTGTTTGTTTGTTTTTTAGTATTATTCAATTCCAAATATATTTAGGACCTATTCTGGTTTATATAACTGACTAATGTTTTAGGCAGAAGACTGCATTCTCTGTGACTTATTTCTAGAAGATATGGATACATAACTTATATGTAAGTTATATAAATAGAAAGAAAATCTAGGGTCATGATAAGCCTTGGACTTGAGTTTCAGCATGTCGGTGGGGATGCAGCAACCTGTCTTTCCGAGGGAAACCTGTAATTACAGATACTGAGGTCCAGTATCACTGAGGTGAGACTGGATATGAATTTGTTTAAAAAAATACAATTAATTCTGTGCTTACATTAGAGTTTCAAGCGACTTATAATGATATTTCAGCCTATTTAATGAAAATATTTCCTAGTTACTTTACCATGAGGGGATAATCCAATGAAATACCACCATTACCATACCCTCCCCTGCCCCCAATAAAAAAAGGTTGAGCTGAGGTCTGAAGGCAAGGTAGGATTTAGGAGGTAAATACAGAGAAAAGGGAGTCTATGGAGAAGGAAGAACATGTGTAAAAGCCCTGTGGCTTGAAGGAACAGTCAAGTATTAGAAAGGAGTAAGGTGATGAGTGTGGCCAGGGCCAAGAGCACAGAAAAGCATGAGAGCAGTGACTTAGGGGGGGTGGAGAGGGGCAAGATCATTGTGGTTCAGGTTAGATGGTGAACTGCTTCCTCACCTACAGGCTCAGAACAAGTCTCTCTTCTTCTCAGTGCCTTTCCTGCCTCTCCTTATCAGAGTTGATATTTCTGACTTGTGCAGCCATGCACTATGCACATAATTCTATTAAAATACTGTTTCAATGTTTTGCAATTATTTATGAATATACATCAATTTCTACTCATAGAATGAGTTTTCTGATAATTGTAACTAGGCAATATATATGCTCTTTTATCCCAGCACCTGGTGCTATAATCCAATATACTATATGTATGCGGATATTTCCCATATGAATCTGTTGATCAAGTTCAGTCTTCCACCAACAAACACAATTACTTGTGTTCACATCACCCCACAAAAACGGTCTGACGCTATATGTGCAAAGCAGTTCAAACCACTGGGTAGAAAGAACAGTTTGAGTACAAGGTCTAATTTAGCAGCAGGGAATAACAATTTACCCATACGTCCATTTTGGGAGGTCATGGACCTGGCCTGTCTGGTTCAATACTCAAAGCTTGGAACAGTGCTCATACAAAGTAGAAACCACACACCCATTTACAAAGTGGATAAATACAATAAAAGTTCTAAAATGAGTATGTCTTAATCCTAATATGGGTTTTTGCTAATGATATTTTATGAGGCTGAATAAATAACTTAAATTACATAGCCTGATTTCTCCCATCAGTGCACATTACCAGAGTATTATAAAATCCAGTTGGCGGTCACAAAGAGATTTCAAGCTAAGTGAGTGAAGGCTGTTAAATTGCACCTAATGAGTGTTCTTCCCATCTAATGGCAACTGTTCTCACAGAAAGACATTAAATGGCTCTTAATAAATTAGCTAATTCTGTTCTAAAGGGAAAGTCAACTAAGCATCAGGCATAATGGAAAAAGAAAGAAATTCAAAGAGATAGAGTCTGATCAATTGCATGGATTGGTAGTCATGTGACTAAGTAGACTGGGGTAAGAAAAAAGTATTTAAGGAACAGCTAAAAGAGAGTAGCTTTTTTCTTATTATAAAAAGGATACCCTTAAACTTCATTGGTATGTCTCTGGATATACATTTATGCTGATATTACACCAAGGAAAAGGTAGAGTGAAAATATAAAATTGTCAAATATTAGAAAAAAAATACACAAAGCTAATACTAATACACTGAATTTTAGAGTGAATAAAGTATAGTCATTTCAAATGAAGGTCATATGCTCTTTCATTAGACTATTAGTCCCCTGAAAGCAGATACCATTTTTTTTTTCCTGTAGGGCACCTGTTTTGGCCAGAAACAAATGGGGGTGGGAAGGGAGAGCGAAAACACCTCCTAGGAAGGATGGCCACACTGCAATCCCTTCTCTGTCCTCCTTTTGGGGTTTTGCACACACATGCCCAGCATGTTTTCAAGTAGCCAGGTCTGGGACTCAAACCATGCAATCGGCCATGTGAGATTCAGTCGCCTTAACTTCCACACCGTCTGCTGGCCTCTCAATCGTTTTTAATAGAACAGATAGCTTTCTTATTTTTTAGCTCATTTGGTTTTTTTTCCATCCTTAAAAGCTTGCATATAGAATTGTTACTAAATGTTGTAATACTTCAGACAAGTCAACAGCAACATCTTCCCAGTGTTAAAGTGCCAACGAGCTACTTAAATTTGGCAAAATTTCAATATCCCATTTTTCTAGAAAGTTACTTTAAATTTCAGAGTCAATAGCGAAACCTATAGTGCAGTGTTTACGTGATGTGCGTAGGGAGCCAGTTCTCTGTGGCTGACTGCAGTTCAAATCCCAGCTCCAGTGACATGAAAACTATGCCATGTTCATGTGCCCAAATTCCATGTGGGAAGGAGAAGTGGAGGAAAAAGGATTGCTGCACAATAACACCCCAATTAAAGGAGCTTCCTCTCTTTCTCACTCTCTCTCAAAAGCACATGTTCCTCTGGCAATACAAAAAAAATTTAGTCAAGGGCAGATTTTATTTATAATACAACTTAGAGATTAGGATGAGAAAGGTACAATATCCAGGCTTTTTACATTCATTTCTCAAGTATTTACTGAGATTCTTCTCCATTCTTAGACTGTGCTAAATGCTGTAAATATAATTTAGATTAAATGTGTGTGCAAAACCCCAAAAGGAGGACAGAGAAGGGATTGCAGTGTGGCCATCCCTCCTGGGAGGTGTTTTCGCTAAAAAAAAAAAGAATGTGACACTAACCTCACCATTAGGTTTGCACAGGATCATCGTACAGTCTGGAGTTGTTCTAAACCTGTTTTGTTCCTTCCAAAGAAAATCTGTTGGTGGATGATGCTTTGCTTCAGATTCTGCTGCCCACACCTGTAAGATAATGAGTTATTAATGACAAATGCCATTGGAGTTCAGCATGGATTTGTAAATGTCACGGGGTGACATTAACCTCCCACCATCTGTTGGCCCAGATGAGGTTTTAAAATGTAATGGCTGTATAATATATAACGTCCATGTATGTATGTGATGCCAAACGGCTACTGTACATGGTTTCATTTTATTTTTAAGAAGTTTTTACTATAGAGCATGTGCGCTCGCCAGAGAAACAGAGGAACATCACCCCCTGGGGGGGATGGTCACACTGCAATCTCTTCTCCTCTATTCTCCTCTTGGGATCTTGGGCACACACACATGCACGTGCGCCCGCCATGAGTTTAAGTCACCAGGTCTAAAACCCAAACCACTGTGGGGAATCCAGCAACATAACCATTACACCATCTGCTGGTCCCTGTACATGGTTTTAAAACATAAGGAAGAGGGGAACCCTTCAGCACCAACCTATTCTCTTCAAATGATCTCTTTGCTTACCTTTTCTTTTTTAAGTTTATTTATTCTGTGAGTGAAAGAGACAGAAAGAGAGACAATAGTGTATTTTTTTTTTTTTTTAAATCACCAGAGGGCACCCGTGCTTACTGGAGAGAGATTCAGAGAGACAGAGAGGGAGAAAGCAGGGAAAGAGAGGGAGAAAGTCCCATTCCCTCCCACCCCACACAAAGGCATGGTCATGCTACAATTTCCCCTCCTACATTTCTCTATCCTGTCAAGATTTTAGGCACACATATGCCACATGTTTTTCAAGTCAGTGGGGCTACCAGATCCAACACCCTTAACCTCTAGGCCACAGAATCTGCCCTCCAACAAGTCTTGATGCCACAGTACATCCCTAACCTGAGCCAGTTCCAGATCTGGGCACACGTATGTCCAGCCTATTCAGGAAGGTCTCTGAATGCAAACCTGGGACATTGTCATGTAGGTCAGCCTCCCAGAGCATCATTTTTAACTGGTGTGCCGCTGTCTGGCCCCTGCTTGTTTCCTAAGGATTATGTTTGTTTAGTTTTAGGAACTTAGGACTCTCATTTTAATAGTTAAATTTGAACGGGGGGGGGGGCAGTAGGTAATGTGGTGGTTAAGGCTCTGGACTCTCCCATGGCCAACCACAGTTTGAGTTCCAGATTGGGCTTGAAAATCCTGCTGGGCACGTATGCGTGCATGCCCAAAATCTTGAGAGGAGAATGGAAGAGAAGGGACTGTGGTGCGACCATCATCCCCAAGAGGTTACTTCTCACTTTTTCTCTCTGTCTCTCTCTGACAAGTACACGTGCATGATGGCAAAAACCTTAAAAAAAAAAAAAGTACAATAAATTGAAAAAATATGTGGAAATTTAAGGATATTAATTTATATTCTTATAAATGGACGAAGCAGCAAGTTAGCCAACAACAACAACATTACATTTATACACGATCAACTGATGAGAAGACCACCTGATGATGAGCCATGGGTTGACAAGTTTTCCTCTCCCATTCTAGCTTACATATTTATATCTGGTACTCACTGTTACTGTGGAACTGGCCTGCATTATGATATTTGGAAGAAATCGGTATGAAGAAATCGTTTGTCCATTCACATTTTGCTGGAGAACATGATCCCCGATCTCCAGTTCCTTGTCCATGGAAGAATTAATGAGCTTTATAAACATATCCTTCACTTCGGCTATGCGAATGTCTCCAAGAGAACTGGAAAATAAAATCCCAAAGTTATAAGGTGCCTTCAGGTAAGTGTCTATGACCTACTTTAAAAACTGAATAATAAATATGCTTTAGAAGTTCTTATTAAACTGCAGATTACATTGGACAAGTACTATTACCACACAGCAACAGTTTATTTCACAGTCTAAAAAAAAAAAAAAAAAAGGCTTCTTGATCTCTTAGCTCTGTTTCTTTCTTTGAGCAATAAAATGATCTGTTTCAGATAAAATAAGAAAACCAAAAATTTGTTTTAGGTGTCAATGTATGAATGCCATAGAAAGGTGTGATTATTTAAATTTCTTACTAAGACAATTAGGACCACTGAGACATGAAACCCCCCAAACTAAATCAAGAGATGAATTAAATCAGTTTATTTCTAATAGAGAGACTGTGAAGATGAATAGCAACTATGTGATGAACTTTTAAAAATGAAAACATTATACAAACACGAGATGCTATTTTTTTACCTTCTAACTTGTGTTGAGAGCTTAGAATGTCCCAAGGGCTAGGCTAATCACTTATGCATCAGCTTTTTAGTTTATTTATGTTTGTTTATTTATTTATTTTCTATAAGAAAGAGAGACAGAGAAAGAGAAACAGTACCCCCAATAGGATTCTGACACCACACTCCTCCTTCAGTATTGGCCAGTCCAGATCAAGGGCAAGTGTGTTCCTGGAGTACTCAGGGAGGTCTCCAGACTTGAACTGAGACCTTTTCCATGTGGAATTGCCTCACAGAGTGTCCCATTTACCACTGCACCACCATCTGACCCCTCAGCATTTGAAATATTACTTAGTAGGCCATGCGATCACTTTTTTGGGTTGGGACTAGTATTTTAAAAATAAAGTATTTCTTGGGGGCCAGCAAGTGGCATGGTGGTTAAGGCACTAGACTCCCACGTGACTGACCACAGTTTGAGTCCTGGTCCTGGCGGCTTGTTTTTCCACGTTCCCTTTCTCTCTCTCTCTCTCTGGTCAAATTAAAAAATAATAATAATAAATTAAATAAAACAATAATTTTAAGAAACATTAATAAAATATGATGTTTCTCTACTACTAATAATAACCAATACTACTTATGTGGTAGGCAGTTTAAAAAAGATATATACATTTCTACAGCTATTTTTCTCTCTCTCTACATCTATCCTTATTTAGCTTCACAATTTTCTTTTTTTTTTTTTTTTTTTTGAGAGATTTTTGCTATAGGGCACATGCGCTCGCCAGACAGACAGAGACAGAGACAGACAGAGAGAAATCACCCCCCAGGGGGGATGGTCACACCGCAATCCCTTCTCCTCCATTCTCCTCTCGGGATCTTGGGCACGCACGCACACGTGCCTGGCATGAGTTTTAAGCCACCGGGTCCGGGACGTGAACCGCGGTCGACTACGTGGGAGTCCAGCGACATAGCCATTACGCTAACTGCTGGTTCCCAAGCTTCACAATTTTCTTATCCATTTCTTTTCTAATCCAAAAGGCTCTGGGGGAAAAAATATCTTTTAAACATGTTTGAAGCAAAACCTGATTAAAAAAAAAAAAGAAACCTGAGGTGAGGCTATTTATAGTCTTCATCCTTGGTTTGTGTAAATATTCATATTTCTTTCCGTGGAAAGACTGTTTGATTTTTTCTTTTTGTATACTTCTCTATGCCCTCGTGGGATGTTACGTAGTATGTGTTCTAAGTATGTTACTTTTTAAAAATTTCTAAAATTCTGAATTTGGAAATACGTAGTCCCCAAATATTTCAGTGAAGGCATTATGAATTCATAGTAACTCACTTGATTATCACAATACTATACAGAATTTTCATTGAACTATTTCTATATATTTCTTATTAAAAGTCACAATAAAAAAATACACAAGGAACACTGGATTATCACATTTAATTCTCACAACAACCAAGTGATATAGGTACTCATTTTAGTTCACTTTATAGAGAAGAAAGCAGGTTTTAAAAGATTAATTTCCAACTTTGAGAACGCTCAGTAAATGCTAATGCTGACTCTTTTGCTTCACTCAGCTTGCAAGATCTGACAAGATTTGATTCAACCATTCAACTTATTTAAATCCTTTATACACTCTGGTGTTTGTGCACTGCCAGAAAATGCATCATTTGCACTGTTGGTTATGCCTGAAACTTCCCTATCTTCTCTGTCATCCTTCATGCCTAACCCATGTCCAAGTTCTAGTGATTCTATATAACATGCCTCAGTGTCTTCTCTCTACGTCACCTCCCTATCCCCATGGCTGCTGTCTTCATTAGGCTCTCCTCATCTCTGTGTGATAGCACAACAGCATCCTAACTTTTGTCTTGCCCCCAAGCTTTCTCCATTTTGCTTTCAGAGCAATCTTCATACAATCCAGATATGACGTTGCCACTTCCTTGCTGGGAATCTTTCAGTGTCTTATCATTTCCTCCCAGAGAAGACGTAAACTTGACAGCATGGGAACAAGGCTCTGTGTAATCTTTCAGCCTCTTTTATCTCCTTTCCCCCTTCTTCCTACCTCAGGCTTCCAGGGCAACCCTAAAGAATATTTCTCAAGAGTGTAATTCAAGCCTCTGCATGCTTCACTCTGCCTGCACATGTGGGATTTCCTTTTCTTGATTCCTCATATCCTCACCAATACTTCACATTTTTAGACTTCTTTATTTTTCGACAGCATGAGTACAAAATGGTATTTCAGTGCTCTTTTGCTTTTCTCTGATTACAGTGCAGTTGAGTAAGACTCATATTGGCCACTCAGTTTTTTGCCTGTTCAGTGGATTGCCTGCTCTTATCACATGGTTCACTTTTCTACAGGCTCATTTAGCACTTTTATAATTGACTTAGTATTCATAATATATTGGTGTTTCATTATGTGTACATACTATCTGCAAAAGGAGGCCTTTTTCTCTTAATTGTCAGGGGGCATGTGCACGTATCAAAGAGAGAGAGAGAGAGAGCCCTCAATAGGTCATAGTCACGTCACAATCCTTTCTCCTACACATCACTGTCCTCTCAGATTTAGGGAATGCGCATGCACCTGCCTAGTATATTTTAAAACTTCTGGGTCTGGGATTTGAAACATTGTCAACCATGTAGGATCTAGTTTTCTTAAACCACTTGGCTACAGAGCCAAGAAGAGCCAAGATTTTTTTAAAAAAATCTCATCTATGATGACTCTTACGTTATAATTTGAACTTCTGAAATTTTTACTGTGATAAAATTTATCAATATTTTTCTTTACAGTTTCTGTGTCCTACGTAAGAAATGTTTTCTAGGCCAGTGGTGGCATGGTGATTAAGCTGGCTGGATCCCACATGGCTGATCTTGTGGTTCAAATCTCAGACCCAGTGGCTTAGAAACACACTGAGCACAGACATACATGTGCCCAAAATCTTGAAAGGAAAGAAAAATGGAGAAGAAAAAGTTGTAGTGTGATCACTCCCCATGGAGGGTGCTTTCTCAACTTTCCTTGTCTCTCTCTCTCTCTGGAGAGTACATGCACTCTCTGGCGAATTTAAAAAACAAATTTCCCTACTCTTACATTTTCTTTCAAATATTTTAAGAATTTGCTTTTCACAGCTTTTATTTGTTTGTATAATATATGGATGTATATTTCATATGAGTAGCTAATTTCCCTAGCCAATTTATTAAATTGTCCATTATTTCTCTACTGATTTATAATGCCACATCTATCACATAGCAAGTTTCTGCCATTGTAAGGCATTCTCTCTCTTCTGTTCATTAAGCTGTCAGTCCTATGCCTTTGCCGAATGGTTTTAGTTTATGCTGCTTTATATTAAATCTTGATTTTGGTTGGACAAGTGTTTCATTTTCTTTTTCAATATTATGATAACTGTTTTGGGACTTTTACCCTTTGTAGGGGGCAGAATTACTGCTCAGAGATGTCCATTTCCAATTCTTAAATCTTGTGAATATATTATGTTGCTTCACAAAAGGACTTGGCAAGTACAAATATAATTATGGATTTAAAAAAAATTGTCAGAGAGCACTTACACTAACAGAAAAGAGAGAGAGAAATGAGAAAGCATTCCCCTTGTGGAATGGTTACGCCACAATTGCTTCTCTTCCATTTGTCCATCCTTTCAGGGTTTTTGGGTGTTCATGCATACGTTCCTAGCATCTTCTCAAGCTGCCCAGTCAGGGTCTTGAACCACACAGACAGCCACATAGGATCTGGTTGCCTTAACCATCAAGCAATGGGCTGGCTCAGGTATGGATTTTAAAATAGACAGATTATCCTGAATTATCTAAATGGACATAATCTAATCAAACAAATGTTTAAAATTTGGAAATTTATTCTGGCTGGAAGTAGAAGAAGGGTGCGGAGGGAAGTCAGAGAAAAAGCAAGCATGAGAAAGAGCTGAGAAACTAATACTGGCTCTGATTTGTAGGGGCCCGTAGGCAAGGACTGCAGCGAGGTCTTCAGTAGTTACAGAGCCCATGCTAACAGCTGGCAAGGAAATGGGCCCCTCAGTCCCACAACCACAAAGAACTGAATTTGGCCAACCACCTCAAAGAATTTGGAAGCAGATTCTCTCCCAGAGCTCCCAAGTAAGAGCCCAGCTGTCTGACACCTTGATTTTGAAATTGTGAATTTTTCTTGAAGAGGTTTTTGTCATAGGGTGTGTGCACTCATTGGAGAGACAATGAGAGGGAAAGTAAGAAGTCACCCTCCAAGAGGGTGGCTATGCCACAATTCTTTCTCTTCGTTTTCCTCCCAGGATCTTGGGCACAAATGCAAACACACCCAGAGTGATGTTCAAGCACTGGTCTGGGACTCAAACTGTGGTTGGCCATGTGGGAGTCCAGTAATGTAATCGGTATGTCATCTGCTGGCCCCAAAATGATGAAATTATTTTTTAAAGAATCATTTTACTTAACTTTATTTATTTATTTTAATTTGACCAGAGAGGGATAGAGTAAGAGAGAGAGAGGGAAAATAAGAAAGCAAGTTGCCAGATCCGGGCCTCGAACTACTGT